GCATTCAGTGTTGTATCAGGGCAACAGCAGCTTATAACTTCAGCTACTGAAAGACTGCTGAGTTTTTAGCTACTGGCATGAGAAATCATTGCTGTAGACTAGTCTTCTTTTTCTAGGCAAATTAATTCCAATCATAGCTTTCAATTTTAATTCTTTCCTAAATTGAGCATTCAGACAATGAAAATATAATAAAATAAAGTAAGCCACTTTAAACAGTCCTTCTCTGCCCACTACTAATCTGCCTTTTGTGTTAAACAAAGCAGCTATGCAGTGGAACACAATGAAGTGTTTTTTTTCTTGTTTAGCTTCCTGATTCAATGAAATGGTTATGCCCCAGAGCACCACCAGGTGGTGGTAAAAGTCACAGGCAAAAAGCCAGTAGATCCAAACTGGGAAGCTTGATGAGGAATGCTTGAGGTGGTATTCCTCATGTCATTATTATTGTGCTGCTATGAACTAATGAAGAAACTACATTAGTACTGAAATATTTTATTAGTCCTAGAAAAAAAAACAGCTAAAAATAGAAGTTGTATTAGTTTTAGAAAAAGAAGTAGAAAGTATGAATTCTAATATGAGCTTATTAAAGAATGAGTCCTATGATATAAAACATTTGAATGAAATAATCCTTATAATGAAGTAATTAAAAGTTTAATACTTAATTCTAGTTTCTACTATCTTAGAAAGGTATTTTCTGCTAATCCACATCTGAATTTCATCTGGCTCCCTTTGTATTTTGCATTGCAGTTAGATAGAACAGCAACAGTCCAGAATATCAAGTTACCTGGAGTTCCTCTAGTACACTGGTATTTCACACCGCTGTGCCTTTCATCACTTGCATGACTCTCTCTGCCTAGAATCTATTTTATTACAGTGTGTGTTTAGAATATTCACTATGTGTAATGTTTGGAATACAATAATGTAGTCTCTAACTCAAGTCTACATATCAGTGGTAGAAACAGACCAGGTCAACGGTGAAGACGGCACAGACAACACAAGACGACAGGCTTGTAGGAGAAGAATTCCCAAAGAACATGCAAAGGGCACCTTAATTAAGATTGTTGGGAGTGATCAGCGGGGAAGGGATAGTAGGTAGTAGCCTTTGGAACACGTGAGTGGAGACTACGATTGCAGAGGAGATAATGTTCAGAATAGGAACAGCAGGGTGCACCATGGCTGGAGGGCTCTGGTGCACAACACTTTCAGAAAAGCTATGAACAGAACACAGGAAGGCAGTAACAAGGCGAGAGGCTGGACAACCGGGGAAGAGTACTCATACAGGCACCTTCTGCCAGGCTAAGGACCTACCGATTTCCTAATCCTTTATGCCACTGAAGGCTTTTGAGCAGGGAACTGACATGATCAGTTTTGCACTTTCATAAATACCAAAAGGCTGTTTGCTTTAGTAGTTATGAGCATGGACTCTAGCACTGGAGCCCAGGTTCAAATCCTAGAGCACCACTTACTGTCTGTGCGATGTTGAACAAATTGCTTCAATTCTCGGTGCCTCAATTTGATCTTCTCTGTGCTAGAGATATTAAAACTTTTACATCACAGAGTGGATAGGATAAGCAAATGAGTGAATGTTAGTAAAGTTCTTAGAACAGCACCCGGCAGTTATAAAAGTGTAAGTAATTTTTTAAATAATGTTTTTTTATTTTTATTGTAGCAAAATATATTTAACATAAAATTTACCATTTTAGCTCTTTTTAAGCACACCATGCAGTGGCATTAAGTTCATCCACATTGTTGTACAGCCCTCACCACTATCCATCTTCAGAACTTCCCCAGCCCCTGGAATTCCCCATTCTACTTCCTGTCACTGAATTTGATTTCTCTAGGTACCTCGTATAAGTTGAGCCATACATGTCCTTTTGTGTCTGGCTTATTTTACTTAGCATAATGTGTTCAAGGTTTATACATGTTACAGCATGTGTCAGAATTACATTCCTTTTAAAGCTAAATAATATTTCACTGGATGTATACACCACATTTTGTTTATCTGTTCATCTCTTGATGGCCATTTGAGTTGTTTCCACTGTTTGGTTATTGTAATACTGCTATGAGCATGGGCATACAAATATTAATATCTGTATGAATCCCTGCTTTCATTTCTTTTGATTATATACCCAAAAGTAGAACTGTTGAGTCATGTGGTAACTCTGTGTTTAATTTTTTAAGGCAATACCATACTGTTTTCTACAGAGCCTACACCATTTTACATAACCGCAATGCACAAAGGGTCCAGTTTCTCCATATTCTCACCAGTACTTATTTTCTGTTGTTGTTGTTTTTTTTTATAACAGTCATCCAAATGGGTATGAAGTAGTATCTCCTTGCGATTGTGATTTGCATTTTCCTAATGATTACTGACGTTAACCATCTTTCCATGTGCTTATTAGCCATTTGTATATCTTCTTTAAAGAAATGTCTATTAAAGAACTTTGCCCACTTTTTAATTAGGTTGCTTGTTTTTTGTTGTTAAGTGCAATTATTATTTTTAACAGAACACTCTGGTGGCTGGTTAATGGAAAGCCAGACTGGAGACAGGGAGGGAGTCAGAGGCTGCTGCAGAAACCGCAGCAAGAAATGCTGAATTGAGGTTGGAGCTGATAGGAAGTAGTATAATTTGAATGAGATAATAGAAGCAGAAATAAAGGAAGGAGAATGGAAACAGCTTTGTAAATGATGAGATATGAGCCATAAGAAAGGGACGAGCGTGCAGTGAGGCTGTGGTTTGTGACTCTGGCCAGTGGGCAGACAGCGCTGCCGTTCTCAGACATGGGGAATTCCGGAGGAAGGTTGGTTTAGGATAAAAGTTAACGAAGAGAGCACTTAGACCCTTCCCCTTATCTGCCTGTCTTCTAAGATGCAGATCACGAATCATCTAATCACCCCTCCATTACATCCATTTTACATCTCTGTGTCCTACTATTGGTCTCGTGTAAGACTGCATCTTACTCATTTTCATGTCCCTAATACCTCGTGTGTTAAACGTTTGCTAAGCATAATGAGAAATAGAGTGGGGAGAGAGAGGGAGGGGGGACAGAGCATTTGAACAATGGACAGAATCAAATTTTTTACCTGCTTCAGATTCAGGAGGGGAATAAAACTGACCATCAGAAAGACCACCGGGTAAAAGTGCCGCACTCTCTGAAGCATCCTGAACTATCAGGAGTCCTGGAAGAAAAGAAATTCCGACATTGGCAATGTTGTTACGTTTCTGGTAGCTTTTTGGCAAGATTAAGTATGATAAAATGGTATTATTGTTACTACAATAAAATAGTCTTAGAAAAAGAGGTATTTTCAAAACCTTTCAACCAACAAATAAAAGGTTTCATTAATAAACTATGAAACAATACTGTAAGGACAGATAACCAAGTATTAATAGTTTAAAAAATTGCCTCTGGTTACTCATGAGATTCTTGAACTCAATATGTATAGCATCTTTCCCTTGGATCTAACTCCTTATAAAAAATCAACAACAACATCAAAAGCAAAACACAAAGTGAAACAAAAAAACCCGGTCAGCCTGTACAAACAGTCTACTGGATGCATTGGATTCAGAAATGCCAGATGTAAAGTGTAATACATGGATGGCTTTTTATAAATACGTAAAGAATAATTAAGATGACAAATATTTATGCAACAAAAAGGTCTCCAAAGAAAAGAAGTGTATCAAAAAACAAAGAAAAGAGAAGGAAGCATGATGTGGATAGCTCAAAATACCAACACTTGCAAGGCCGTCAACACGGTTCTTTTGGCTGAAAGCTGAGCGCATGTTAAGGGGAAGTGGGAGGAGGCACCAGGCCGAATGGCAGATGCCAGGTCTGTGTGTAACGTGCTACCAACCAGGAAAATAAATGCTGCTTTTATTTCATTAGTTTTCATTAGTTATGTATTCTGCTTTATTAGTTACTCTAAATTTGGTTTCATCATATAACCATTCAAGTCCCAGTCACATGATTAATAGCTGATATGTTTTCAATAAAGTTCTGTTTGATATTTATGTCCAGTGAAATAATACTTCCATTAGCTATACCTATCCCTTCTCCACAATACAGAGGGCACAGAATAGAAGACATATCTTGGTCTGATTAATATGTTTTTAAAATCTACTCTTGAATTATAATTCTTTTCTTATAAATTTCTTCTCTGTAAATGAGATTTTCCAAAATAAAGCCAACTGCACGGTTATTTTTTCTCCTGCTGTGTTCTGAACTTATCATCATGCTTAACTTTCTATAAGATACAAGATTTTCTTTTCCTATTGGGCAGGACAAATTGATCAGATGACTGACAGAGGCATAAAAACAGCATGTCCTGAAACTGCATAATTATCTAAAATGAGCTTGAACCATTCCACCTCCAAGAGGGGTGGGTGAGGCATGTGGGCTTCCATTAAGGACATCATGTGGAAAAGAATTCCAGCTCAATAATTAACCGTCAAGCTCAGTCATTTGGCCTTCCTAGTTAACATCCTGAGATACCGACAGCTACACGGTGAGATCACACAGCTGCGGCAGGACCCATGAGTACACCACACTGGCCACGACTCAGCTACTTAGAGGAGGATGGTGAAAGCTGAGACGGTCTGATGTCTTCCTCCTCTGAACTTCACCATTAACCCACGCTAGGCACTTAACTGTCCTAATTACAGCCCATCCAAAGCCATCACCTGCTGTATGGATAGCAGTGTGAAACTTTGGAAAATCACCGACTTATATTTAGAATTGCTTCCTAGGCTCACTTAAAATTGGCTTAATTTTCTCTCCCCCTAAACAGCACAGTTCTGTTTATATGCACAAAATACCTAGTGTTCTATGACTATTACTATTAGGGAGAAAAGGTCAACCTGTCTGGGAGAAAGAAGTGTTGGTGATTTTCTGTTGTTGTTTGAATGTCTTTTTTGCCAGTGTTCACATTTTCTTCCAGGGGAAGCCTGGCCCAACAGCTGGAGAAAGGAGCCATATTCTGGTACTATCCTGTCATCCACCCAAACCCTTGTCTTGATTCCTGATATAGCCACTAAAGAATGGAGACACCGCAGCTGCCGAACTCTACTCAGCTACAGCTCCATTCACATCAAGACATCCATACCTCTTCCTTCCAGACTGGCACCCACACAGTCTCAGGAGGCTGATTTGAGAGGAACTTACTGTTTTCTTCTTCTGCTTCTTGAGGTAACACTTTGAAATCCAGGAACCATGTCTCAATCCAGGCCAGGATGAATGAAATGATGGGCAGCACATAGCCAAAAGCCCCTTGAGAGAAAAGCTGGAAGAACAGATGTGACCAGGAAAGGGAAATGCAGTTGCTATGAACCCACACTGCAAAATGAGGCTTAGTCATTGCAGATGGTAATTGCACAGAAAAAGTGGAAGGTCCTACCTTTGAAAGGATCACTTTTGCTAATAAAAAGGCACTGGTCACTGCTGTTGTCAACTGCAAGACACATAATCCAGCACCATTCAAATTAGACATTTCACACTGTGAAGGCACCTCCCTCATATAAGAGACTTGCCTGAGCCAGGAGCAGGCAAAACCTGTGCCCGGCCTGGCTTCCTCCTATATCACTCTAGCTCTATCTCTGTACCTAGACTGGGGCAAAATGGGCTTCTATGTGGCATGCAATCCCTAAATGAGTGCTTCTAGTTTTCCTTCTACCACATTCTAGTAGGCTGATGTGTTGAAAAACTTTGTTTTATCCACCAAAGTTACACTATCCAAAGTCTGTATAATCACATAGAAGAAGAGACTAGTGAAATACGTAGGTAGGACTCTCCCTAGGGATCGTGAAGCCCAGAGACACCACAGTACCTGAGCCTTGCCACTCCTTCCTCCAACTAATATTTTTAGCATGGTGAAACCTGACCAAAGTGAATGCCAATAGTAGCTTGACTGACAGAATGGAGGCCAGGGAACATCAAGTATCTTGCTCAGTAAATATTAACAGAGTTACCTATTTACACACCCCAGCCAGAGTGCCACACTCGGGAAAGGAGGCATCTTACATTCTGACACAAATTAACTTTACAGGTTGGTATTTAGTGCTCTTGGGATACCAGCTGATTTTTCCTGCCAGCCTCTAGACTCTCTCTGCAAATGTTTTCAAAAGCAAGAATCAGAAAGAAACAAACAAAAAATGGATTTACTCAACAGATCTACTCTTCATACAATTTGAAAGCAGATATTGTAGATACTTTCTTATAATTCTCATTAAATAACTATGTCAGCCACTTTTCCAAAACAAACATTGAAATGGATGCTCTGACAAAAACTAGTATGCCTTATGGAGACTCTGAAGCACCTGAACTATCAGGAGTCCTGGGAGAGAAGAAATTCAAATGTTGGCAATGATGTCACCTTTCTAGTAGCTTCTTGGCAAAATTAAGTATCATAAAATAATAGTATTATTACAATAAAACACTCTTAGAAAAAGAGATACTTTGAAAATCTTTCAACCAAAAAATAAAGATTTCATTGATAAACTATGAAACAATACTATAAAAATATATAACCAAGTAGTTGAAAAAATTGTCCCAAATGGAGACTGTCGTTGAAAAATGGGAAGGTATAATCATCACAGTTATTGTTGTATCTGCAAAAGAGTATTCAGGAAAGGGAGTCAAGTCTGGCAAGGAATGTCAGCCTCCATCCCTGAGATGAGAGCTTCTAGATTAACACATGGTCTGACCTCAGCCCCGTGAGTCGGTGAAGGCTCACAAGAGATGGTGCAGGCAGACGTGGCCCCCTGGTGGACCCAGGAGAGCAGTACAACGCCCGTTCCCAGAGGGACAGGCTTGAGCCGGCCCACACGGACTAAAGTCTCATCCTCTAATCACAGGATGGCACGTTATTCCTGAGCAGTTCTCTCTAGTTTGAGGAACTCAACATTCCCTCCCCCCTCATGTAATTGCCCTAGTGGAGCTATAAACAAGGTGAGTATTCAGATGTCTGTGGGAATAGCAAAAATAATTCAGGCAGAATTGCTTGTAATTCTTTTTTCAATCTCTAAATATCTGAGGGGATGAAAGTTCTGTGCTAGACACAAGGAAACAGATGAGTAAAAAGGTCACGGCCCTTGAAGAGCCAAAAGGCAACGGTAGAAAGGAGACTGGGAGCCTTCCCCTCCTAGAGTGGAGCGGGGGTAAATAAAGCATAGGGGAAGGCAATTGTCAAAATAAGCGGAAGTGAAATCGGTAAAAAAATCACTAAGCGGTTTCAACCAGACAAAAAATTTTCCAAATATCTCTATGACAGAGGTGCTGCTCTCATCTCTTATTTGCAAAATGAGGTAGGCTGGGTTGGTGCTCGGCCAGTAACTACTGTTGGACCTCTAGCTTCCTATTTTGGCCCTGCATCCATAGAGACAAAGCTAGTTATTCATTAGCACTGGGAAGAAGTCTTGCAGTGTCAAAGCTACTCAAGTGCCGAGGAAGGGGACTCAGGAAAAGCTAGCGGAATTCCACCCAGATTAGAAGCGCATCTTCTCCCAGCCCTGGCCTGCTCTGAGCAGGCTCTGGCCCCCAGCACTGGAGAGGATGATCCACCCATCCAGGTGTACTCACCGCTATTGCCCACCAATGGCGCAGTCTGCACACAGCATATGCAAGTATTAACACTTTAAATCGAAAAACTGCCAAAAGCTAAAAAAAGAAAAAAGAAAGAGACATTATTCAAAATATATACAAAAAGAAAGTAATTTAGCTTTATAAAGAATTTGTCAGACAGCCTCCATTATTCCGATTTAGCTGGAGACTCCCACAGACCAGCACTGGTCTGTAGACCAGCATTTGGGAATCCCTGCTCTAGAACTTAATGTAATACCAAATAAGCTTTCACATTAATTTCCCACTATCAACAAAAGAAAAAGGCAAAATGGGGACAGCATTTTCATCACGCTATTGTGTAAGTAGGTGAATTTTCCTTGCAGTGATGAGGGTACATCAATGAACTCGATTTCAGCCACTTGAAAGAATTAGGGCTCTACACCAAGAAACTGGGAATGGTTCCTTCTGCTGCCCTCTCTTATCTGTCAGTGATCTTATCCCTTAAAATGATCAGGTGATTCCTTAGTGAGAGAGAGAGCACTGAATGGGTGGGGAATTAAAGGAAAAGGAAATATGGTCAATGTTCAAGGGAGGGGAAAAAATGGCACAGAATTTGAAGTCTATTTAGAGAAAATTTGCCTTTTGGTTTCAGTTTCATTGTATCTGAAATGAACTATAAAACAAAAAATTCTTACGAATATGTCAAAATAAGAAGAGTAGTAGTCATACTGCACCACCTCCTTCTCTAACGTGTTTTCAATGCCTCCATTCACCTAGGAAGGAGAGGAAGAAGCAAAAATGAGGACAGATTTATGTGTGAAAATAAAACAAGAGTAAGGTTTCCTATGTATTTTTCTGCCTATGTTCTCAGAACTCAGAAATGTTAAAGTTTGGAAGAAAACAATTCTCATGATTTTAATAGAAAAGGGCTGAATAGCATTTCTCCCTTCCTCAATTCTGAATTCATTCATTTGACAGACATAAATGTATAACAAAAATAATGGCTTTTGTAGTTCACATTTTGGCAAACTAAAATGTTAAGTAAAGTTATTTTTCCCCTTTTAAGACAAAGTCTCCCATGATACAAATGTGTATTTTAAAGAAGGCAGTTCGCCCTTTACCCAGGCCTCCCTTTCTAGTCACTTTCCAGGGTCTCAGGTCTTGGAAGGCCTTGGGCCTCCTGATCTCGTGGCAAACACCAGTGATGGCTGTTGCCATGACACAGGGCAGAAGTATAAAAGTTCTCTGTGATTTCTTGTTTTTATCTGCTCCTAGAATTTTAAAATTCAGCACTCTTATCAATTTAAATGTATACATATATATTTAACTTGAATAGATAACAAAATAAAGAGACAGATTAGACCCAAATCATATGTGAGAACATTATACTAAATTATGGAAATCAAAGCGGATAAGCTTTCTGTCCTCTCCCAATTCTGTCAAAATAAATTTTAAATTAACAAGTCCAAAATTCTACAAATTAAACTATAGAGAATGCTTTATAAAAAAGTCATAAAGAGGACAGATGCCAGGCAGCCAATGCAGCAGCCAAGCAGGCATTCTGCAACTGTTAGGGCCCCTGGAAAAGCCTGATCCGAGGGAATATGATGTGAATTTGAGTTTCCAATTTGGAACATAGTCCTGGCAAACAAATGCAGAGGGTCTGAAAAAGAATAAAAGGGCAATTAACCAGAGACCTGGATAAGAGAGAAATAAAATTAATAAGGAACATCTTTGAGAGATTCAAATTAGAATAAAAGTTGCCATAAGGAAAAGGTATTCTTGGCTTAGATATATTTTCAAGTATTTATATTTGTTATACAAATGAAAGCATACCATAAGCATTATTCTGTACCTTAAAATCCCTTAAGGAGGTCTAGATTTTTGTGTTATAGCACAGATTGGCTACAGACCTCCTTGGCTACAGACCTTTACAAATAAACAGAACTGAAAACCTAGGAGCAAGTAGAATTAATTATTAAAAGCCAACCAATCATCTAGTCTCATCACTGTCTCTCCACACTAAGGAAACTTACCAATATCCATAATATTAAAAGAATGATTATTCCAAGTGGCAAACAGGAGTTCTCTACCACACAGAGACTTCCCACTTCCATTCCTGAGAGAACAGGAGTCAAAGCACCAATACGGTTTTGCAGTAAGAGCTCCTAGAAAAAGCTTTTCTCTGGTATCTGCATACTTTAAAAGACTCTAATTTTGTGTTGCCTTTAAATAGAGATGTCTAATATTTATATCTCTAGTCCTAATTTATACTCTACATCCTTATTTCAAAATTTTTATCTCTAGCTCAAGATGTCTTAAACAGACTATCTTTTCCTTCACACAAAATCCCTTCCCAATCATGGTTCTTTCTGGTACTGCTCTTCTAGGTTTAATCATTAGAAACCTTAGTCACCTTTGGATAGGGGATGATAAAATCAGCTTATCAACAAGTCTTCTGATATTTAGTATGTCTCTCGGGTTAGCCCTTTCCTTCCTGTTCCCACCACCTCCCATGGCATTCCTACAACAGCTTCTGAGTGAGTGCTCCGATGCGAATTTGCCCCTAGTTTAGTCCAGCCCGCACGCCACTGCCACAATGATCTTTATCCATTAACCAAAACATTTTCTGAGCACCTATTAAGTGCCAGGCACTGTTCTAAGTACAGGAAATGCTTAGGGAAACAAAACAATATTCCTTTGTCTTCATGGAACTTACATTCTAGCAAGGCAAGGGACATGACAGATAAGAAATGATGTGCTACACAGAGAACAGAAGCAGGACAGTGTAATACAATAATGGTGACATTTGAAATGATACCAGCAATAAGAAGTCAGAATCTACAAAAAGATACAGGACATGAATCATTTCACATAGAGGAAACAACTAGTAGAAAGGTCCCAAGACAGAAAGGAGCTTGTTCCAGTCGGGGAACAGGAGGAGGCAAGTGTGGCTGATGGAACAGAGGGTGGGAAGGAAGTCTGGAGAGGCTCCTGGGAGCTTTGCAAGCCAAGTTACGACATTTGGATTTTATTCTAAGTGCTCTAGCAAGCCAGTAAAGGTTTTTAATAGAAAGTGACATGATCTGACTTATGTTTTTCATAGGTTGGTCTGGCTACTATGAGGAGAATGGATTGTAGGGTAAGAGTGGACCAGGCAAAACAGCCAGGAACGTGGGGCAGCAGTTTGGGTGAGAGATGAGGTGGGCTTGGTCGAGGGCAGTAACAGCAGAAAAGGAGAGAAGTGGTCACATTTACAATATATTTTAGAGGTATATTTGACAGGACTTACTTTTAGCCTGGATATAGGACATGAAAAATACAAAACAAACAAGCAAATCAATCAAGGATGAGTCTTCATTTTTGGCCTGAGCATCTGGGTTTGTTTGCTGAAAAAGAAGGGGGAAAGCAGGTGTGTGTGTTGGAGGGAGCATGGTAAGTCAGGCATCCAGCTGGACACGTCAGGGAGGCTGTGATGTAGAATGCAAGTCACTGACTTCTGGGTGATCTCAAAATCACGTTTTCCTATCTGCTCCACAGCCTATAACAGCTCACCACTGCAGTAAATCCAAACACTTCTATTAATATCTACCTTTTAATAACTTTAACAACTGAGGACCAGCCTACCTATGCAATTCCACTTACCATAGGCACCTTACTTTCTAGCCACACTAGTGTTTTCTCAGCCTGTCAGTGTCCCCTCCAAACACACACGTGTCTACACACACATGCACAAGCACACCGTGTCTCAGTACTTCTGCTCACCTTGATCTCCAAACCCTCTCTCCAATGCTCCCTCATTGTGGAGATCATCCTTCCCTGATTATCCCAGATCATCTTTCCATCCCAAGTGCCACCCACCCATCCTTCCAAACCCAGTTCACAGTCCATCTCCTCTGCTCACTCCCTCAGATAGTTCCAACCCACTGATCTCCCTCATCTGAATTTCTGTTACCCTGGGTCATCCCAGTTTATACAACAGAGTGACAGTGGGATGACAGAATCAGAGTCGGAATCACTGGGGTAACAACTACCTGAAACTTAAATGTAACAATAGTGAGAGAACAGTAACTAACACTTTTTCTATGTTAAATTTATTTCAGTTATTATAATAGTAAGTTACATAACCTACAGCTGTGTAGATGTTTATAACTCCTGAGGGGCTGCTATACACATCTTTCCACTTGATCCTCATCTGAACCCAAGAGGAAGGCAAGACCAGTATTGGTTCAGTAAAATGACTGAGAAACCGAGGCCCAGAGAACTTATGAGATGTCTTCCCTAAGGCCACAGAGCTGGTCATGATAGCTCTAGGTCAAATTAGAAGTGTTCTGACACTCTTTAGTACACCAGTGAGAAATAATAAGAAAACAGGCAATAAGCATTGATAAAAGCCTTTTTGAAATGCAGTCTCAAAGTATCCACAGCTAAAAAGAAAAACAACTTCCCTTCCCCTGCCACTTTGATCCCTGTTCCTATCAATCTAAAGAGTCTGGGGGAGAGTCTGGAGAGGAAACAGTCCTCAGGGAACTCAAGCCATGGTTAATTCCAGGTCCAACATGGGAAATCAGTCTAGTCAAAGGTAGACCAAGAGAAGCCCTGGACAGAACCAAAACCATCCCTTCAACTGACCCCAAAGAGATCAGCTATGCTAAGATCTTCCAGAAGGAAAATGAACCAAGGTGGTGTTAAGCTTCTCTGGGCTCACCCAGGCCCTGCACTCCAGGCTGGGATGGTGCCAGTGAGTTCCCTGGAGCAAGGAGGGAAAGTGGCTGATAAGGCAGAAGTCATATATGAAGGCAAAGTTCCTTGGTGACTGCTACGATTGCAGAGAACAGCTGGCTTCCCCCATTCTCTTCTAATGGCCTAAGCACCCTTTATAACATTTTATTTCTTCTTTTAAAGACTAACGTTACAAGGCAATAGAAGATATGTGCCACGTCTCCTCAGCTAAACTTTAAATCCCATATGGTTTTGTGGAGCTTGCAACACCTGCATCAGAACTGTGCTCAGTAAATGTGCAGACGTGTAAAAAAAACAATGGATTTTAGTGATTAGAGATTTACAAAGAGAAAACAAAAGACAACAAATAGTACGATGTGTAATGAAAAACTCAGGTCAGGATTGACTATTCAAAACAAACAGAATTAGAAACTGGACACCGAAAAAAAAAAGTACTTGACCTGATCAAAGTAAAAAGCTTCTGCACAGCCAAAGAAACGGTCACAAGAGCAAACAGACAACCTACAGAATGGGAGAAAATTTTTGCACGCTACAAATCCGATAAAGGGCTGATAACTGGAATCTACTTAGAACTCAGGAAAATCAACAAGAAAAAATCAAACGACCCTATCAAAAAGTGGGAAAAGGACATGAACAGAAACTTTTCAAAAGAAGACAGAATAATGGCCAAAAAACATATGAAAAAATGCTCAACATCTCTAATCATCAGGGAAATGCAAATCAAAACCACAATGAGATATCACTTATGTCCAGTGAGACTGGCCTTTATCAAAAAGTCCCAAAACAATAAATGTTGGTGTGGATGCAGAGAGATAGGAAAACTCATACACTGCTGGTGGGACTGCAAACTAGTGCAACCTCTGTGGAAAGCAATAATAGAGATACCTTAAAGAGATACAAGTAGAACTACCATTCGATCCAGCAATCCCATTACTGGGCATCTACCCAAAAGAACAAATGATACTCTACAAGAAAGACACCTGCACCCGAATGTTTATAGCAGCACAATTCACAATTGCAAAGATGTGGAAACAACCCAGTGTCCATCAATACATGAGTGAATTAATAAAATGTGGTATATGTATACCATGGAGTACTATTCAGCTTTAAGAAACAATGGTGATATAGCACCTGTTGTATACTCCTGGATAGAGCTGGAATACATTCTACTAAGTGAAGTATCCCAAGAATGGAAAAACAAGCACCACATGTATTCACCATCAAATTGGTATAACTGATCAACACACAAGTGTACATATAAGAATAACATCTATTGGATGTTGGGCAGGGGGGAGGGGGAAGGAGGGAGGAGGGGACGGGTATTTGCATACACAAAGAGTGCAATGCGCACCATCCAAGGGATGGACACGCTTGAAACTCGGACTTCAGGGGGAGGGCGGAGACAAGGGCAATATACGTAACCTAAACATCTGTACCCCATAATATGCTGAAATAAAAAAAAAAAAAAAAAGGAAAAAAAAGTACTAAAAAAGTCATGATACACCCCTTAAAACCATTTACACTCTCCCTTAAAGATCATATACTCTTATCAGATCTAATTTTACTACTGGGGAAACCAGTAGTGAGGATAAAAACAGATTTCTAAATTGGTAAGCCTGGTGATTTTTCATTTACAGCATGTTACATGCAGACACAAACAGATCCCTTCTGAAAACAAGAACTGGGGGAGCCCAGTTCATTTCCATTTCCCAGAAGAAGTCGAAGGAAGTCAGCCCTGTGATCTACGAACCCCACCACAGATCTACCCCGTGACTTCCCTCATGTAAAGCCACAAAGTGAGATTAGTGGCCAAAGCAAAGAATACCTTGACTTTGTGCTGACGTTAAAATAATTTTTAAGTGTACCCCCATAAAACTGCTGCTATGCTTCCTGTTAAAAGGATTTCTTATTCACCTCTTGTTAACAGCTGTCAGTTTTGAAAACACCTGACTTCTCTAAAATATACATTAATTTAAATAATTTCTTTAAATAATTAATGTACGCATATGGAACAAATAAAAAAGAGAGTCATTCTAAATTACTATGTCATATCACTGATCCATGCGGTTTTAAACAAAAGTAAGGCATTCCCACAGGGCTAAGTTAACAGAAGGAAAAATCTGTAAACAGAAACTTAAGAGTAGATTCATGTTGCATATCACTGTGATTATGGCAAAGTTTTATTTTCTAACAAAACTGTATGCGTTTATAATGAGTTTTCTTCCTCTATTAGGATTCCTGATGAAACTAAATGAGATTCAGTGACCCTAATTATCAAGAGACTAGAGTCTAGAACTGAAATTGTTGTTATGAATCAGAAAATGAATCAGAAATTAGATTAAGATGTTGATTCTTATTGTTAAAAGGAAAGACTTAAGATCATTTTAAAACAGGAATTTCAAAATCTTTTCATATTTTCTGTATTTTAATAAATTCTTATAAAGCACCTAGCATTGTGTCTAATAATAAACAATAGGTAATAATAATTACTACCTAGATCTTAGCAAACACTTCCTGCTGAATTGCTGAAATGAAAGAAACAGACAACCTTTCCTTGCGAGGAAAGCCTTCTGGGAAGAGCTCACATATTCGTTGGTGAGGGATGTAAACAGACTCAAGATTTAGGGAGAAAACAGATATACTGGATTAAATAAATTATTAAAATGAATTTTACTTATTTTTACTTTTATTAATGTGGCATCTAGAAAAGTTTAAATTACATATTTTAAATTCTGCATTATATTTCTATTGGATAATACTGGTCTAGACAATTATTTGGTAATACAATATAACTCCAAATTTCTTTAGAATAATCTTTTTCATAAATTATGAATAAATAATCTCTGCAAAAAAGTAAAGAATGAACATATGCAAAATTTTAAACATAAGAATCAGAAAAGCAGATGAAACATCTAAAACATATTCCAGAAGGATTTTTTGGAAGAAGTATCATCAACCTTTTTCTAAAAAGGGCTAGGGAATAAATATTTTTGTCTTGGAGGGCCAGAGGGTCTCTGTCACAACTACTCAACTCAATCAGCATAGAAGCCAGCCATAAACAATATATAAACAGATAGGCATGGCTATGTTCCAATAAAACTTTATTTATTAAAACACCCTTTTTTTTTTTTGTCAACTCCTGTTGTAAAGCAAAACACCAGAAATTCAAATTTCAAAATCCCATACAGTGTAAGCTTTTAATTTACTATTATTATTATTTTCTTTTTGAGACAGGGTCTTTCTCTGATTCCTGGACTACAGTGCAGTGGCATCATCATAGCTCACCACTCACTGCAACCTCAAACTCCTGGGCTCGAGCAATCCTCCTGCCTCAGCCTCTCGACTAGCCGGTACTGCAGGCGTGTGCCACCACACCTTGCTAATTTTTCTATTTTTTGTAGAGACTGGATCAGCTAATTTTTCTATTTTTTGTAGAGACTGGGTCTCGCTCTTGCTCAGGCTGGTCTCGAACTCCTGGCCTCAAGCAATTCTACCGTCTCAGCCTCCCAAAGTGCTAGGGCTACAGGAGTGAGCCATGGTGCCTGGCCCCAGGTTTGTTTTAAACAATTAACATTAGAGAACAAGAAAGGTCCAAATCAGCCAGAGAGGAGCAATGTTATCTCATTTGGAAAAAGATGGAAATCATTAAATGAAACAAATGATGAGAAAAATAAGAAGATAGTTTTTTTGTTTCTGGAAACATTTTTTATAAAGTCATGAAAAAAAATCCAACTTACATTTAACTCTATTATCCACAGTAATGTTACAAATAAGAGGTCAAAGGTGACAAACAAACAGAAAGTCCTCCTGACATCAGATATGCCCTTCTTTTCCCTTCCTTCATAGGATTCAATCCTGGCCATGAGTTGGGTGGGGTTGATGGAATGGACGCCGCGCAAAGAAGCATGGGAGCTCTGGCTCCCACTAAGAACGTTCTCCATGTCTTCTGGCAGGTGGTTCATCCTGGGGCGGGTTAAAGGAGCCTTTTTCCAACTTCACCATCCCTAGAAACAAGAGACCTTTGGGGAATAAAAGAGAGATACCATGTTAAAGCCAAGATCACCTAATATGACTCTACTCACCACTATGTGACTATTTCTCTAACTGAGCAACAGGGTGTCTTGACTGATTTACGTCTTGATGAAGACATAGAGAGAAAGTGAAATGAGAAGCAATGCTTAATGTTTTCAATTAATACTATAAAATAGTTGTTATGGAAAGCAAAGGCAACAAAGAAGAATGCAACAGGAAAGGGTGAAAAACAGGATGTTAACCACAATTAAAAGCTGTTCCTGATAACCTGGAGCAGGGCTCTTGGTGAATGCGCCATGCCACTTCTCTTGCTGTGCCAGGGAGAAAACCTCCACAGTCCTGTAAGTGCCACTACACACGGACTAGAAAACTACTTACTGAATGCTTTCCTGGAGCATGTAAGCAGAACACGTCAACTAGCTATAAAAATGTATTTCATCAGATGGAACTGCTTTCCACCAAAAGTACCTAAAAAACTGAATTTAGCATTTCCTCATCCTCTGAATGGACAAGAATGTTTCCAGGCCTTTTTCTGGAAAAGAAGTGTACACACTCCAAAAAGCTCAGCACTATGCAACTACCGGACTGATAATTACAGAAGTTACAGCCCTATACAGAGATGCAGGTCTCCTAAAGCCAGGATGTGCTTTTGTAATAAAAATAAAAGATGAGTAACCTAAAAATCTGATCTCCTCATGGATGGGGCAAAGTCATTAAACAGAAAGTGACTGTTTTCCAAATATCCTAGTTTCACTTCCTGTAGTACCTCTCCCTGTGGGATTATACATTCTTCGCTCTTTGAACTCAAGTCCTTTCTTTGGCCATGGATGTGGTCATTGTAACATGGGCACAGGTTTGTGGGTCACTTGTGTCCAGAAATGTGAGGAGCCAGTGTGTGGCCTACCATGCTCTCCTTTCTTTCTGCCACAGTGACTGGCAATGCCAGATAAAGAAGAACATTTTCAAAGAGGTAAAACTGAATTTGGAAACAGACTGCTGAGATTTCTTCAAAGAAATATTGTCCTGTTTGGTCCTATTCACTGTCCAGAACTTCATCTCTTTATACTTGACCCTGATTTCTCTCCCTTCCTACACTCGGGCACAAAAGTCTTTTCCATCCTTTTATATAGTGTGGTGGTAAAGGGCATGACAATTTTGAAAGCAATTTGATTATATGAAATAAGATACTTTAAAATATTTATACCTCTTGATCTTATAACTCTACTTCTGAAATCTAAAGGGAAATAACTACAGAACTTCAAGGTAAAAACTGATCTATAGCATCAGAGGTCAGGTTAATGATTACCTTCAAGGAAGAGGGAGGGAATAGTGATTAGAGGGTACAAGGTAGGGGGTGTATTTAGGGGACTTGGCAAAGTTCTAGTTCCTGACCTGAGTAGTGGTAACATGGCTGTGCTCACTTATTGATAATTTATTGATGTAAACAGTTGCTTCGGTGATGTGTTAACTCATGAAAAATTCAAAAATCTGCGTATTTATGTACATGTATACATAAATGAACAGTGTATGTGTTATCTTTCAATAAAAATGTCTATTAAAAAGACTTCATCATAATATATCTGTAATAGTCTCAATTAGAAAACAACTTAAATATCTAACAATAGGGAATAATTAGATAAATCATGGTATAGCCACATCATAGTCATTAAAATAAGTGTTTACAAAGCATCTATAATGACCCAGGAAAATACATGGGTTATAATAATAGCTAGATTAAAATCTAACACTAAATGGAATATATAAACACGTAGTATGTTCACAACTCTGTAAAATAAATCTAAACCAAATTCTTACAAGACGTACCTATGAAATATATTAGACATTAGCAATGATTATCTCTGGCTGATGAGGTTATATTTCCCTCCTTTCTTTTACCTTTTCCACATTTTTCAAATTTCTTATTTTGTACTTACTATATTTGTAACAGGAGGGACTACATTCAAATGTCATTTTGTTAGGGTCATGGACAGATATCTCAGGACTCTATACAGCTCCTCCCTTTCTTATCTTTCTTATCTGCTTATCTAGGTGACATTAGGTAACAGTGTCATGGACACTTAATTAACTTCGTCAGAGTCAGCAAATGAACAAATCATTCTGAAAATCTGAATAGGAGTCTACTTCAGTGATTTTTAAAAGAAAATACAAAGTTCCAAAAATTTAAAAGTGTTTCTACATATTTTGTCTCATTTTTCTCAATGAGATCAATACCATCCTAGTGAAGGAATATCGATGGCATACTCCCCAGTACTGCAGCTCTTAAAACAAAGCCTGCAAAGCACTACAATTACCCGTCTGACTTCTAGGAGCTAATTCTGGAATAATAAGGAAAAATGAATATAAATCATATATTTTTTGTGATGAAACACACTTTTTGAAGTTTAAAAAGATAGCAGGGATGTTCTTTAAAACTGAATCTGGATGAATAAAGACATATTTCTTCAATAATACATTCTACGTTAAGAAAAAGCAACCCAATAATTCTTAAGCCAGTCTAATAATCTATTAGCAACTGTATTTAAAAATTAGTTTCAATTCTTACATTCACTAAACTTCTTGGGGAATCCAACAAATTCAAAATTGAAACGAAGGATTGCTTTTAGGAGGAAAATCATTGTCAAAATAATTAGATCATTTTCCAAGTCTCACTCCTTCCTCCTTCCACAAACCTACTCCTTGTGAATAAAAAAGGACAACAAAGAAAAACACCAACCGTAAAAATCTGAGGCTTAATATTTGAAAATATAAAACAACAGTATACAATGGTATACACATGACTTGGGAAATGAGAATCATTATTTTTCAGATGTAAAACTGATAATTAGCTAGAATTTACATATACTTGCAATAGCTTCAATAGTAAAATTACCCAAAGAACAGATTGCTCAGAGCAGTTTGACTCTAAACAAAGTGATTTTTCTCCTGGAAACAAGGAAATCATAAAAGGGAGAGAGAGCTTCCCTTTCTCTCTTTCTTTTTTTAAAATTTACCTATACTTAATCCAGCAAATTGGTCTAGATATAACAAGTGACAGTGTAGATCATCTAGGTCTTGAAAATACATGGCTCAGACTTGTAGGGTAAGGTTTTTGAGTGAAATTTCTACTCAAAAAAGGGAAAATAAGAGAAAAAAGGTGCTTAGCTTGAGTGACTCATGCTAGCGACATACTAATTAAACTTGCACACATTTGGCCATCTTTGTCCTCTATCTCCTTCATTGCCAGTGAAACTGACTAACAGCCACGTGTCACTACACCTTCCAATTCACAACAGCAGGTAAACAAATTTGACAGCCTCTATCCACACTCCAAGAAAAAAAAAAAATAAAAAAAAACAATTACCCCTGAGGGATAGGTTCTTTGGGGGATTGGTAGGAACTTCTAGGCAAGTGGGAGGAGAGAAAAAGCTTAAGAATACTTTTACTTCCATAAAGGGATGTAAGCTGGGAAATTTAGGAAGTCCTGGTCACAAATACTAAGGAAATATCAGCTAATTTGTGTTCTGTAGGGAAATCTTGGTTTCTGCACTATTAACCCTTACAATAAAACTGGACTTGATTTTTCTGTGATGAATTTTACTGTGATAGACTTGAGTTAAAGATACCTTCTAAATACAAGTGTATTTGACTTAATATAATAGATGTATTTCTTCTCAAATGTATATACACAGAATGTTTTAGCCTGAGTTCCTTAAAAAAATACAGGATAAATAAGATAAAAATTAGTGAAACAGGGAAGAATGAGAAGCATTGCACTGGCTTCTTGATGAGCTCTGAAGTGACACACCAGTCAATGGCTGGCAGGTCCATTCAGTGAGGTGGTCCATTTCCAGACATGCAAAGTGGAGAAACAATGCCTCACGGTAGTCTGTGGGATGAGAAGAGCGGTACATCTTCCCAGCTTCTTCCTGTTCCCTATTTCCATCCATCAAATTTCTCCTGACAGTAGGTTTACGCTAATGCAAATTTGGCCAAGATAGACACAAAAACTCTTGAGTATGAGACTTATCTTAAAGCCAGATTTACACATTCCTGGATGTGGCATTTCATTCAAGTTTTGAGGGAAGACAGAATAACTCTGAGTGTGGGACTGGCTAGCTTGGGTGTTGGAACCCTATAGACTGGAGTAGAGCTGCCTGCCCAGCAAAGACAGCATCTGAAGGTTCTTGAGGCAATCCTAAGGGAGAATAAGCAATTGCATAAAATGCATTATAGAATCAGTATATGCAATTAAGTAATGGATTTTCGGTTTGCATTTCAATCAGTATCACCTGTGCATCTTGTTTAAATCCCAGATACTGAACCACGTGATTCTGACACTCACTGAGGGACAGAGCTTCCTTTTAATGTGTACAGAGAAGGATTGTTCCTTAAAGTCCCTTTCTACTCGATGATTATCTGATTGCGTTGTAACCATATCCTTCAGAAAGATGCAGTACAAGTGACAGTTCCATCAGGAAGACTTCCCTGAATGCTCCCCACGTTCCAATCTCCAGTCAAAGTCAAGTTCATCTCTCTAACTCCTGCCAAGACTATGGATGTGTCACTTATGACACTGCTTACCACACTACACCGTCACTAATTCATTTATTTGTGTGCCTCTCCTGCCACCTGGTATACTCTTTAAAGGCCCGGAATTTGACCACAGCACATGGCATACACCAGGAACAAAACAAATTATCAATTGAATAAGTTCTATCTGGAGTCTAGCTCAGACACTGGCAAAGGGCAGGCTCCCAAAAATCTCTGTTGACTTGAGGAGACTACAACCATTCGTTTCCGAGAAAGAGCTTGGCTATTTTCCCAGATGACATTTCAGAAGTATTAAATATTCAATCCTTGGTACTGAGATCCTCTCTGGGGTAAGCTTAAGGAAAGCTATCCCTCTCCAAAGAGGGTGTTACGTACTGATTAGCTGTATACATAGCAAGCTAACTCTACAATTCAGGATTTTTCCCAACCTTGGGGG